TCGAATTAAACAATTTAGAGAATGTCGTAATGTTATAAGAGACCTCGTTATAATTGTATTGGTTGATTGATATAAACCTTTTTTTTGTCACCAGCAGATGAGTTCTATTTGAAAACTTATTTTGTCCTAGAAAGAGTCATTTTTGAATAAAAGAAGCTGATTTTCGTGATAGGTGATGTAATTCTTAAATCCACCCCCGCCCCCGCCCCCCCCCCCCCCCCCCCCGCCCCCAAAAAAACTAAAATTTTGAAGTCCTTGGTGCAACAAGACTCTTTTTGGAAAGATGTATTAAAATGTATAAGAAGAATCTTATGTGTTTGGGGGCTTTAGAGATTGGTGTCGTAGACTCCATCACAATACAATAAATTTCTCTATTCTGAAGCCCAAATCAATGGATGTGACATACATTTGTTCATAGAGAAATTTATCACGTATATAACTAAAACATCACGTAGTTCCCAATGTATGACTGTCTTCATCATTTTTCCTAATACATGACTGGACATCATCATCTTCCATCCACGTGTGTTTTATTTTTTTTAATACCAATTGTATCCTTTCATTTAATTAATGATTTGATTTTTTCATCCAAAAATAGGTGATCGACAAGCATACGACGTATTGTACTGGAGCATGATCAGCGGTATAGTAACTACCTTTCCGGATAACTGCCGCACTATTATTGGGAAATTCCGATACATACGGAAATAATTAATTGAACGTGAATGTATCGTCAGCGGTAAATATATTCATCTTTTACGAACTGTGTGTTCATCTTCCCCACCTCACGTCTATCATTTCACCGGCAATCATTTCATCTTTGAAGTGAAGCAGTATCCATGGATTCCGTCCCAGTAGGTTACCCGGAAGTGTGGATTATGATAAAATATGATGGCCAATGGGTTTCAAATACTTTGTTCTCTAGTATTCATGTTGCCGGTTTAACTCTACCTTCAAATTGTACGTATGATTCTCTATATTCTCGTGTTTGCGCTGCTATGGGTAAGAATTATGCCGGGAAGAATATTAAGATTTCATACGTTTTTGTTACTTGCCCACCTCCCGTTAATGTATGTGATGACGATGGTCTACACTTTTATTTACAATTGAAGAGTTTTCAAAAGGACCCGATGCAAATGCCGTTGTGTGTTGAATTTTTCTCCGGTGAGGAGGTCGATGCTACGAGTGGAGAGGAACAAAGCATCACAGGAGGTGTTGATATTGACAATGAAATTGTATTTGACCATTCGAGTGAAGTGGAAGAGCGTGGTGGCTGTTCGCGTGGTGGCTGTGATGGCGAAGACAATAATTTCACTCACAGTCTTGATATGGACTTTGAATTTGAGCATATTTCGAGTGCCGACATTATGAGGTTAAATTCTCGGGTTGATGAAGAGATTCATAATATGCCCGTACTCAACCATTTTGAACCCACGCGCATTGCATTGAATAGTATCTATGGAAGCAAGAAGGAACTTGATTTTCACCTAAAGATGTATGCCATTACCAACTTCTTTCAGTATAGAACGAAGACATCTTGCCCGAAGGTTTTGCATGTTGGGTGTGTGGACCCAGACTGCAAGTGGGCTGTGCGTGGTGTGCGCATTGACGGAGTGTCATTGTTTCAAGTGAAAAGGTATGCAGTCATTTCTCCAAGTTACATGACATGCATGTCTATTACTGCCCTAAGGTGTATTGTTAAAAAACAAATATTTGAATTGTCCACGGTATATACAATTAATGGCCTTATGATGTTCTTTTATTGGGTCACTGTTTTGTTGTTTTTAAAAAAAGTATAAGGAAAATGAAATCAGTATTGTAAGTCAGACATATGCTTTAATGTCCTTTGTTCAGCTCTTATAATTCCCTGCATTTGCAGTAAGTTCTGTGCATAGGTTGTAATGCCCTGGCTTGTGCATTAATTTTTTTTGTATGCTAACAGTATTCTTTTAACGACATGTTTAATGCACTGTGCATTTACATTTAATAAAATATAATGCTTGAAAGTTTACTTAATCCCACATCGCACACTGCACCTTGTGTTATGTTTTTAATGCCCTCTTTGCACTAGTATATTATTATGTACGCTATTCATATGATTTTTCAGTATATTGCCTAATTCTATCAACATATACCTAAAATATTCTTTACTTGTTACTGTTTGTTTTCGTCATACATTTTAAATTTCTTGTTGCATGTGCATTCATTGTTGTGTTCCCGCCCCCGCCCCCCGCCCCCCCCCCCCCTAAAAATTTTAAACATAAGTTAATGCCCTTCATTAAACATGTTTTTCCAGATTTGACTCTGAGCACACATGCCCCATTGATGTACGTCAACGAAATAGCCGTCAGGCTACGTCTAGGATTATTGCCGAACTTGTCAAACATGAGTACGGTGATGCATCCAATAAGCCATACCCTCCGAAATCAATTATGCTTGATATGAAGACCAAATACGACATTTACATGTCATATAAAAAAGCATGGGTTGCCAAAGAAATGGCAATGGAACTGGCTATGGGATCTGAAAAGGATTCATATGCACGCTTACCTTCAATGTGCCATGTGCTTGAAAGGAGTAACCCAGGTTCTATAGTTTCTTATTCGTGCAAGGAAAATGGCGAGTTTATTAATTTTTTCATGTGCCTTTCTGCATGGAGGGAAGGTTGGATTAATTGCATTCCGGTTATAATTGTGGATGAGTCTTTTTTGAAGTCGTATTATAAGGGTACATTACTCACTGCATGTACACAAGATGCAAACAAACAAATATTTCCATTGGCATTCGGTATTTGTAGTGGAGAAAATACTGAAAATTGGTCATGGTTCTTCAGCATGTTGAAGCATTCGCTAATGCATAGGGATGATCTATATATTGTTTCTGATCGGCACGAGGGCATTATTACCTCTGTGCGTTCTGTATTTCCTCATGCGGAGCATGGTTACTGTGTCTACCACATATTGGCTAATTTGAAAACAAGATTTCGTGGCACTCAAAAAACTGTGTCATGGAAGTTTTTGCAGGCTGCTCGTGTTGGATCTGTGTATGAGTGTGAAGAGTACCTTCAAATGTTGGATAGTGAGGATCCACACATTCGTACGTATTTAGAGCGGATGGGCCACCACAAATGGTCTCATGCTTATGCTAGTCGAAATCGGTACTCGGTCATGATGTCAAACAATGCGGAGTCATTAAATGCGGTTAATGCCACTGCCCGAGAATACCCAATATGTAAGTTGATTGAGTTTATTATTGCACGAATGCAAAAGTGGTTTTGTGAACGGCGAGAATCTTCATCGTCAAACAATTGCCGTTTATCTGCACACTTTGAATCTGAACTAGCAGTTTTACAAGCTATGGCAGCCGTCATGAGAGTATTGCCCTCAACTCATTGTCTTCATTGCACTCATTTTTTTTAAATATACTCACTTCATGTGATATTAAATTACTTTTATTGCTGACAACATTTAATTATAGTTTTTAATTTTTAATAATAAATTTTGCAGGTCAAACCATCATGTGTTTTTGAGTTTGAGGTGTTTGATAAGAGATCCCACTCTTATGTTGTCAACTTGAAGGAGCGGACGTGCAGTTGTCGAGAATTTCAGCTAGATGGGTTTTTATGTGTACATGCCATTGCAGCTATTCGCTCCCGCCCAGGATTTTCTTGCTACGATTACATTTCAGAATTCTATACAGCACATCATTGGGCACAAACATACCGCGATATTATTCATCCTATTGGGAGTCCGGATGGTTGGATGGTACCTTCACATGTAAAGCAAATCACTTGCAGCCCCCCCATCATGTGAATCACGACCTCCTGGAAGGCCGAAGGAAGGAAGAATTCCTTCTACAGGAGAACATGTTCGGAGACAAAAATGCACTCATTGCCTCATGATTGGACACAATAGAAAGACTTGTAGGAATCCTATTCCGCTACACATGGGTTAAAAAAGTTTTTAATTATTTGTCGTATTCGTTGCAATGCACTCTGTCGTACTTTTATTGAGGCACTTTGTTATTCACTGTTAATTAAATGCTATGAATGGATGACACTTCTTTATTCATTGTTAATTGATTTTAATAAGTTTTTCTTTTTTCATTTTTTTCAGCAAAGAATTGAGACTTGAGAGTTTAAAGAATATTGCCCTACAACTAATGCTCAATCATAAACACCATTCAAAAAAGACTCCACAAGCAAGGCTGCTGATTAGGCATATACATATCACAACAAAAATCTTACCGCCTTTAATCTATTACACATAAATGACTTTTATTTCCCTAACAATAATGCACGTTCACAAACACAACCCCAACACACTATCCTACATATTATACTGCCTACTTTGTATTGCCCAGAACGAAACACCTTTTATTACCTAAAATATAATGCACAAAACCAAACACCAGCATCAAACACTGTCCTACGCTTATAATGCCTAATTCATAATGCACAGCCACCTTTTTATTTTATTTTATTTTATTTTTATTTTTATTTTTTATTTTTTTATTTTTTTATGCCCAGCCACCTTTATTGTATTGCAATAGCTATTTATTTTCATAGACTTTTCAATAACAAAGTTATCACACTCAGTCGTCCTCACATACTCCTGCAACACAAAAAACATCCAGATTTCAAACATCTTAATGCCTAAGGAACTGCAGTACATTTCTCTTCGCACGTACTGATATGATAGCAGCTGGTTTAAAGAATATTTCCCTACAACTAATGCTCAATCATAAACACCATTAAAAAATACTCCAGAAGCAAGGCTGCTAATTAGGCACATACATATCACAACAAAAATATTACCGCCTTTAATCTATTACACATAAACGACTTTTACTTCCCTAACAATAATGCACGTTCACAGACACAACCCCAACACATTGTCCTACATATTATACTGCCTACTTTGTATTGCCCAAAACGAAACACCTTTAATTCCCTAAAATATAATGCACAAAACCAAACACCAGCATCACACACTGTCCTACGCTTATAATGCCCAACCACCTTTATTTGCAGAACAAACATAATGACCTAACTTCAGACACCGTCCCTACCACATTACTGCTCCCAAATCATTCCAAACACCCAAATCAACCACCAACCCCCCAAAATAAAAACAATTACAATGCCTATTTCATGACACCTGCTATTTCCATTAAAAAAAACCCTAAGTTATGCGTCCTTCTTTACCCCTCCCATAGCAGCCCCCCTTGTTTTACCTTTCAAAGTATTCTTAAATACAGGAAAACCCTTTCAAAGTATTTTTAAAGTATTCTTCACTGCACTTCTTCCCCGCTTCGAAGTCGTCTTCGTCATTATTGCTTCGTTAGACGCCGCCTCTCTCTCACACAATTCAAATGAAATTATCCCTGTGAATATGGCGTTACAGTCTCGTTACCATAGAAGGAGGCGGTTAGTACGGCGAACCCGTTTTAGCAGCCCAATTTTTACGGCACACGTTTCTCCCTTCTTTCTTTTCCGTTTCTGGGCTTTTGGCTTAATTGGAAGGGCAATTACGGTATTTTATTTCCTTTAGTTCGTGCGCCTATGTATGACATGATATGTTTGGTCATACAATTGATACAAAAACACAAATGGTAATATTGGGGTATTTTTCCCTTTGTTCATAATTCTATTGCAATTTTTGCTTTCTCGAAAATTCCAATATTCATAGTTTAGTATGTGCTTTTCTGCAGGAATATGGTTCGAACCATTCAAACTCAAATGATTATGTTGGATTACCTTCTGAGCAACAGTTGGCTGGAACTATTGGCTATCAACCAATTGATGAGTGAAAACAGTTTCTATTTGAAAGGAAATGGGCTTATGGGCTGCAGTTTAGTACCCAGGTGTATTCTTTTTATTTAAATGCCGGGTATGCTTGGCTCACAGGAAATGATAGGGAAATGTAAAAAATGCCAAGAAAAACTATTTTCTTATGGTTCTACCATGGAAAATAACATTTTTATTTTTTAAAAATCACATTTAAATTTTAAACTATAGATTAAATAAATAATCAACAAATATCTAAAGTAAGTTCATTGAGTGGTAGCCTATCTTTTATTTCACCCAACATTTTATTTCGTTTTCATTTGCTTCTATATTTTCCTTTGTAGCTCTTGCCATAATGTTTCCTAAGATCTAATTGGAACCTTTAGGTTTTCTCATCATATGTATGTAAAGAAACATTTTGATTTGGCTACACTGCATCCTACCTTCACAGCTATACGACCAAGAAAGCTCTTATTTAGTTTTACATGTCATAATATACTCGGTGTATGAGTTTATTTTAATAGATGTTATTGAGAAAACGTAATGATTTCTTGTTGAGAATTTTAATAGTCCCAACCTCATCTGGGTCAAATCATGATGGAAGTCCTTCAAGTCCTACATGTGTTGATCGTGTGTTGGAAAAAAATAGGGCATTACAATATGAAATGCCAGTGGACTCCCAACCTTCCCGGTCACTATCATCAAGGTGTTTCTCCGGTGGTGGATGTTGTCAAGTTTGAAGTTCAGGTAACAAGCCTCCTGTTATATATCACGCATGTGTTGTTATCCTGAAGCTGCTTTATTTTCATTGCTAGCTACTTGCAATTGTTATTCCTCCATTCAATGAAGAGTGTTATGTTTAACAAATTCCCTTGTCCCTACACAGTCCTATTTCATCAAACAAAGTTAAGCCTTCATATTAGTTTTCCAAACACATGCTGCAAACAAGTTAAATTATATAGCTAAACAAAAAATGAATTTTAATAGATATGTAAAATTCCATGACTTTTTTCAGGAGTTGCATCTCGACCAAACAAGAATCTTGGTTTGGGAAGTTTTTTTAATCGATTCTCAATGGTGAGAGGGGAGTCTTGACTTACCGATTATGGTGTTGTTATGTGACATTGTGACCATGTAATGGGTTCAAAATGACATAAGAATCTTTGACGGCCCTTCTTCAGACCCTTAATTACCTTACGGCATTTATGTGCATTAGAATGCTCTTTTTCTCGAATGGTGAATTACTAGTTAGTGTCATGAGTGTTGGGCTAAATATGAAAAATGAAAAAAATTATACAAATTGCTCTAAATAGGAGCAAAAACATTTTGAAATTCCGAAACAGGAGTATCATGTTTTTGATTCCCTGAATAGGAGTAATCTGCCAAGTTTGGAAAAAAATGTTGTGTTTTAAAGCCTGGTAATGCCAAACTTGGCAGAAATTTGCTCCTTTACAAAGAATGAAAAACATGATATTCCTATTTTGGAATTTCAAAACTTTTTTACTCCTATTTAGAGAAATCTCTCAAAAAAATACACTAAAACAATCAAGAGAGAAAAGTGCACTGGGCTTCAGTCTACCATAACTTAGATTCTCTGTGGTGAGACATGTGTTGTAAGAGTTTGCGTGGTAATGTAAATAACTAAATTTTACTCAAATTAGTTATTTAGTTAATATTTTGAAAAAGAACATTTAAAATGTGTTTTTAGTAGGTTAATGAAATAGAATCAACTACTTTATATAGTAGCAATGTTACTTCATTTCATTTATTCACATAAAAAATATGATATTAATATAATGTCGTGAATATATGTGTCCTTAACAGCTGTACAGAGTTAAGGGCAAATTCCTCCTTGATCTACAAAAGGTGCAAGGACCGGATTCACCCTTTCTAGATCTTTGTGCTGCTTTCGTCTCGCAACTTGAGTTCTCTAAAGAAGCAGGAGTTTGTTTTGTTCAGAGTGCTAACCCTTAATGAATGTGCAGTGTACATGCTGGTATTATTGTGCAAGGAACATTATAACAATATTGCTTGCATGAATGTGTAGTGTACATGTTGGTAATATTGTGCATTGGACATTATCGCAATATTGCTCGCATGAATGTGTAGTGTACATTATGGTAATATTATGCATGATTTATTATGGCAATATTGCTTGCATGAATGTGTAGTGTACGTTATGTTAACATTGTGCATGGCAATGTAGGTCCCTGGAATATGTGGTGTAGACATGCGTGGATCTAGGAAATTTATACGGGGGGTGGGGGGTTGACCAGCGGCGTATTCAGACAAATTTAGAAAATTACCTAAATAGAAGTTCAACAATACAAAATTCAGTGAACTTTTTATCCTTTTTTCCCTTTTAATAGGATCTAAAGGGAAGAAAACACGCTTAATTCTATTTTAGATTTTTTCCTATGTTGAACTTCTATTTTGAGCAACTTCCTATAAAATTTTAGGTCATATATAAGGGTGTGGTTGGGGTTGGGGGGAGGAGGGGGGGGGGGGGGCAACCCCGCAACGGTCCCCACTGCCTCAAAAACAAAATCATTATAGAATTGAAGTTTATTATCATAATTTTTTATATACTACCGCGTAGTATACAAATTGAATCATTAAAATAGTACACAGTAAACAAAAAAAACTTTAGAAATAGAGATAAATACATTATTAGAAGTGAGTAAAGTTAATACCTTATGGTGAGAAGGGGGAGCCTTGGGCCAATTATGGTGTTGTTGTGTGACCTACACGTCACATGTTCAAGTATTAGGACCTCTTCTCAAAATGACAAAAAAAATTGTCTTGTTTTTATACATACTTCTAATCAAACCCTTTCGGACCCTCGCTATATGAGGACACTTATTTGCACTGGAGTTGCACTGTATTACTCTTTTTTCCCATCGGTGAAGTACTCGTTAGAGTCGTTAATCGTGCATACTCTAGTTATTTTATCGAAAATTAAAGACAAGTGGATCAAGAATCTGGATTGGACTGGGTCAAAGAATAATTATACTAGGCTCAAACTTTAGCATGGTGTTTAGATATGAAAAATGAAAAAAATTACACTAAAACAATCAAGAGAGAAAAGTCAACCCACCATAACTTAGAGCCTACATGGTAATGTAAATATGACTCAAATTAGTTTTAATTCTGAAAATGAACATTTAAAATGAGTTTTTAGTAGGTGTGTTTGCAGGAATATGGTTCGAACCATTCAAACTCAAATGAGTTTGTTGGATAACCTTCTGGGCAACAATTTTCTGGGACTATTGGTTATCAACCAGTTCATGAAAGACAACAGTTTCTAGTCGAAAGGAAATGGACTTATGGGCTGCAGGTTAGTACCCCGATGTATTTTTTATTTAAATGTACGTCGGGTATGCTTGACTCAAAGAAAATGATAGGGAAATGTAAAAAATGTTAAGGAACACTGTTTTCTTGTGGTTCTACCTTGGAAAACAACATTTTAAGTTTTTTAAAAAGCATATTCGAATTTTAGTCTCTATAGATTAAATGATAATCAACAAATATCTAAAATAAGTTCATTGAGTTGTGGCCTATCTTCTATTTTGCCCAAAATTTTACTTCCTTTTCATATGCCTCTATATTTTATTATTTTACTTTGTAGTTGTTGCCATAACATTTCCCGAGATCTAAATTGAACCTTTAAGTTTCTCATCATATGTATGTAAGGCAACAATTTGATTTGGCTACACTACATCGTACCTTTACATCTATACAAAGAAGAAAACATAATATACTCGGTGTGAGTTTGTTTTAATAAATGTTATTGAGAAAACATAATGATTTGTTGTTGACAATTTTAATAGTCCAAGGCTTATCCGAGTCAAATAATAACGGAAGTCCTTCAAGTCCTACATTTGCTCAACGTGTGTTGGAAAAAAATAGGGCATTGCAACATGAAATGCGAGTGGACTCTTAACCATCCTGGTTATTATCATGAAGGGGTGTTCAACAAAGTTAGGCCTTCATATTAGTTTTCCAAACACAGGCTGCAAACAAGTTGATATATATAGCTAAAAAAACATGAGTTCTAATAGATATGTAAAATTCCATGACTATTTTCAGGAGTTGCATCTTGACCAAACAATAATCTAGTTTTGGGATGTTTTTTTTAATCTTTTCTCCGTGGTGAGAAGAGAAGCCTTGGGGCATTTATGGTGTTTCGTGACCTAGAGGTTACAGATTCAAATATTAGGACCTCTTATCAAAATGACAAAAGAGAATTTCCGCACTTTATACATACTTATAATGAAACCCTTTCGGACCCTCGCTGTATGGGGACACTTATTTGCACTGGAGTTGCACTCGAGTTGCACTGGATTACTCTTTTTTGCGGCGGTGAAGTACTCTTTAGAGTCTAGATTCGTGTGTACTCTGGTTATTTTATCAAAGGTTAGAAACAAACAAATCGAGAATCTGAATTGGATTGGACTGGGCCGAATAATAATTATACTAGTCTCAAACATTAGCTAGGTAATGTAAATAACTTAGATCCTCCCTCCTTAGACATGTGATGTAGTTAGACCCTACGTGGTAATGTAAATATGGCTCCAATTAGTTATTATTTTGAAAATCAACATTTAAAATGTGTTTTTAGTAAGTGTTTCTGCGGGAATATTGTTCGAACCATACGAACTCAAATGATTTTGTTGGATTATGTTATAGGCAACACCCTGTTGGGACTATTGATTGTCAACCAATTGATGACAGACATCAGTTTCTAGTCGAAAGGAAATGGGCTTATGGGCTGTAGGTTAGAACCCTGATGCATTCTTTTTATTTAAATGTCGGGGTATGCTTGGCTCATAAAAAATGATAGAGAAATGTAAAACATGTTAAGGAAAGCTATTTTCTTATGGTTCAACCTTGGAAAATATCATTTTTATTTTTTAAATAGAAATTAGTTCAAATAGGACTAAAATTATGGCAAAAACCTAAAATAGGACTTGCTATGTTGTTATTCCAAAATAGGACCATATGAGTCCTATTGGAAACATACCTATTTTTGCATTCCAATCTTACCCTTCCATTAAATATGAATTAAAAATACTCAAAAGCCATAATTAAATGTTTAATTCATAATAAATTCGAAAAAAAATCAAAAATTCGTAGAAATATACTTAAAAAATTTATAAAATTTTTATAAATAAAAAATTCAAAAACTTTTTTTTAAATAATTTTTTTTTAAAAAAATTAATAAAAAATAGTAAAACACCGTAAAAAAAATTTAAAAAAATATGGATGCCTTTCCCACCGCCTGTACTACCTCCCAGCACCACCACCTCCGACCGAAGAAAAAAATGCCATTTTCCCAGAAAAATGGCATTTTTTTCTAAAAATGCCAAAAAAGTGGCATATTTCTCTTTTCGAATGCCAACATTTTCATTTTTTTATGCCATAAATATGGCATTCGTATTGAACTTGGCATTTTTTCCCCTGGTGACTGGAGGTGGTGGTGCTGAAGCGGCAGAGGCGGCGGCGATTTTTTTTTTTTGAGTTTTTATTTTTTTTTATTTTTTTTTTTTAACTTTTTTAATTTTTTGAAAAACAATTAATTAAATTTTTAATATCGAAATGTTTTTCTTAATTTTTTAGTATTTTTTACGAATTTTTATTATTTTTTATTATTTTATTAGGAATTAAAACATTTTAATAGCTATAAGGGTATAATTGTCCAAGGTACACATAATGAGTCCTATGCAAACATAGTTTATTTTTTGGTCCTATTTGTGAAAAGTGAATTACTTTTAATCCTATTTTGATAATTAACTCTTTTTTAAAAAGTATATTCAAATTTTAGACTCTATACATTAAATAAATAATCAACAAATATCTTTAAGTAAGTTCATTTATGGTAGCCTATCTTTTATTTGCCCAACATTTTATTTCCGTTTCACATGCCTCTATATTTTCCTGTGTAGTTCTTTCCATAATATTTCCCGATATCTAAATCGAACCTTTAAGTTTTCTCATCATATGTATGTAAGGCAACAGTTTGATTTGGCTACACTACATCCTACCTTTACATCTATACAACCAAGAAAGCTCTTATTTACTTTTCCATTTCATAATATACTCGGTGTATGAGTTTATTTGAATAGATTTTATTGAGAAAACATAATGATTTCATGTTGACAATTTTTAGTCCCATGCTCATCCGGGTCAAATAACGACGGAAGTCCCTCAAGTCCTACATGTGCTCCACGTGTGTTGGAAAAATATGACATTACAATATGAAATGCGAGTGGACTCCAAACAATCCCGGTTATTATCAAGAAGGGGTGTTCAACCAAGTTAGGCCTTCATATTAGTTTTCCAAACACAGGCTGCTAACAAGTTGATTAATATATAGCTAAACAAAAAAATGAATTCTAATGGATATGTAAAATTCTATGACTTTGTTCAGGAGGTTCATCTCAACCAAACAAGAATCTAGTGTTCGGAAGTTTTTTTTAATCTTTTCTCTGTGGTGAGAAAGGAAGCCTTGGGCCAAATATGGTGTTGTTGTGTGACCTAGAGGTCACGGGTTCAAGCATTAGGATCTCTTGTCAAAATGACAAGAGATTTTTTGGCTTTATACATATTTGTAGTGAAACCATTTCGTACCCTCACTGTATCGGGTCACTTATTTGCACACGAGTTGCACTGAACTTGCACTTGATTACTCTTTTTTTCCGTTGGTGAAGTACTCGTAAGAGTCATGATTAATGCGTACTCTGGTTATTTTATCAAAGGTTAAAGACAAGCTGATTAAGAATCTGGATTGGACTATGCCGAAGAATAATTATACTAGGCTCAAACATTAGTAGGGTGTTTAGATATGAAATATGAAAAAAAAAATTACACTAAAACAATCAAGAGAGAAAAGTGCACCCGGCTTCAGTCTACCATAACTTAGATTCTCTGTGGTGAGACATGTGTGGTAAGAGCTTGCGTGGTAATGTAAATAACTAAATTTTACTCAAATTAGTTATTTAGTTAATATATTGAAAACGAACATTTAAAATGTGTTTTTACTAGGTTAATGAAATAGAATCAACTACTTTATATAGTAGCAATGTTACTTCATTTCATTTATTCACATAAAAAATATGATATTAATATAATGTCGCGAATATATGTGTCCTTAACAGCTGTACAGAGTTAAGGGCAAATTCCTCCTTGATCTACAAAAGGTGCAGGGACCGGATTCCATCTTTCTAGATCTTTGTGCTGCTGTCGTCTCGCAACTTGAGTTCTCTAAACAAACAGGAGTTTGTTTTGTTCAGAGTGCTAACCCTTAATGAATGTGCAGTGTACATGCTGGTATTATTGTGCAAGGAACATTATAACAATATTGCTTGCATGAATGTGTAGTGTACATGTTGGTAATATTGTGCATTGGACATTATCGCAATATTGCTCGCATGAATG